TTGTCCAACTTTGATGTGTAGAATCCATGAATTGAGGAAGTACCTCAGGGACCCCCCTGGGGGGAAGAGGAAGGGGGATCCTGAGGTAAGCTCTGATTTCCACACACCACCCATTCACCTAGAGCAGCCCCTCTTGGGTCTGTGTTACAGTGTAATCATTTTAAAAGGAACTAATTGACTTATTTTCTTTCTTTTTTTTTTTTAATTTGGTGTTTTTTAAGTTTGATATCCCTTCTCCAAGTCTTAGAATTGGAGATGGATTGATTAGCCCTCTCGTGTTTGTGACTTTTGCATCTATTTTTTTCTGCAGCGCTCTTCACCGAGCACCCTCTGTTCTGGTTCCTGAGTATGCAGTAGTTATCAGTACGGGTCCTGCCCTCAAAGAACTTATGGTCTCTTTGAGGGAGAATTTGAGGGAGAGAGAATTGCAGTACACAGTTTGTGTTGGTACTTTGTTGTCCTCTGCCCTTGCTCTGATCTTCTCTTAAACCTCACAAGAGATGAAAGCACTAGAACTTGCTAGAGAAACAGGCTGGTAACTGAAATTAGTAAAGTGTGACAGGCCAAGTAACTGGAAGAGTCCACACTCTGAAGAAGGTGGCCTTTACTCAGTTTTGTCCTATCTTTTTTTTTTTTAATTTGATTTATTGTAGAGACGAAGTCTCGCCAAGTTTCCCAAGCTGGTCTCAAACCCCTGGACTCAGACAGTCCTCTCTCCTCTGCCTACCACGCCTGACTGTCCTATCTTTTGTGAGATAGTCCTGTATTTTTCAATGGAATCTAGTTATTTAATGTGAATGCAAAATAACTCAGTTTGTAAATGTTGCTCCTGCTTCTTGGTTTCCTAACCTAAAAATGTACTCAATGACTTTTGCATTTTTCTTAAAATTAAAGTAACCCCCATACTTAAATCCTGTGGCAGGCTCCCCATTGCCTAGGAGCAGAGTTCAGGTTTATTTTATTTTATTTTATTTTATTTTATTTTTTGAGTTGGAGTCTCACTCTGTCGCCCAGACTGGAGAGCAGTGGCCGCTCCCGGTCACCACAGCCTCGACCTGCTGGGCTCCGGCGATCCTTCCGCTCAGCCTTCCAAATAGCTGAAACTACAGTTGTGTGCTGCCATGCCCGGCTAATTTTTTAATTTATTGTATAGATGAGGTCTCACCAAATTGCCCAGGCAGGTCTCGAACCCACAGGCTCAGGCAATCCACTCACATCAGCCTCCCAAAGCATGGGATTATAGGCTGAGTCAAGTTTTTATTTTTTAAATTTATTTATTTGTTTATTTAGAGAGACAGTGTCTCACTCTGTTGCCCAGGCTGTAGTGAAGTGGTGTGGTGACAGCTCACTGCAACCTTGATCTCCTGGGCTCAGGTGATCCTCCTGCATCAGCCTCCTGACTAGCTGAGACTACAGACATGTGTGACCACATCCTTAAATATATATGGCCCCATAGCCAACAAGCCACCCACCTTGGCCTCCCACAGCCCTTAGATTACAAGCATGAGCACACTGCACCTGGCCTCAAGTTTTTTGTTTTGTTTTGTTTTGTTTTTGAGTTGGAGTCTCACTCCGTCACCCAGACAAGAGTGCAGTGGCCGCTCCCGGCCACCGCAGCCTCGACCTGCTGGGCTCCGGCGATCCTTCCGCCTCAGCCTTCCGAGTAGCCGGAACCACAAGCGCGCACTACCACGCCCGGCTAATTTTTGATTTATTGTAGAGATGAGGTCTCGCCAAGGTGCCCAGGCGGGTCGCGAACCCGACAGCTAAGGCAATCCACTCACCTCAGCCTCCCAAAGCGCTGGGATTACAGGCTGAGCCACCGAGCCCGGGTGGCCTCAAATTTTTAACCTGGTGTTTCGGGCTCTCCTTGCCTACTCTCCAGCATGAACTCCTACCTTTCCCCTGCCATACTGTACTGTGCCTGCTATGCACAGGCACCATGCTAGACATAATTATACAATGGGGAACCAGGCACACCTCATTTCCTCAAGATGCTACCAGCCTTACTGGCAGACTAACTGGTAAATAGGCCTCAGCACCCAGAGTTCCCATAACTCTCTGTAAGGCTGTTCCATGGCCCACTGCCTAACAATTACAGATTATGCTTGTGAGCTCCTTGAGGAAAGGAACTGGTATTTGGAGCAAAGTGGTTTCCTCGAGGTTCATTGAATGAATGAAAGAATATGATAAAGGTCAAGTATAGTTCACCTTTCTATGGCTGTATTTCTTCTTATGCTTCAAATGATTTTAAAGTAAAACGCAGTTAAAAATCTAACAACCAGAATTTACTTCCGGTTTTTTGTTTTGCTTTTTTATATTCACGTTTAAAAAGAAAACAATTAAGACAAAATGAAAGACCAACTCCTACAAGTACTTCTACTCTTGCTGCCTCTAGCATGGCCACTGTTATACCCTAGAGTCAAGTGAGGTCCTGTTCAATGTCTTAACATTCTACGATTTCCAAATTGAAGGAGAATTGATTCTTTTTATGAAGATCATAACATGCAAACTATTTAAATAAGGAATGATAAAAATCCTTTATGAAATAAAAATAAAAATGGAAAATATTCAAGAAAGGTTTCAAGTTTTTTGATCCATTTTCCTTCTCAAAAACATTCAATTAATCAGAATTTCCTCATTTGGAATGCTGAAATTTGACTGGCCTGTACACTCTTCAGATCTTCATGTGCTTATTATCATGGTCTCTCATACTTCAAACCAATTAATGAGGATGTTCACTTTGAGTTGGATTTGGTCGTTTCTTGTAATACAGACTTTTCTTTCTTCCCGAAAGAAGGAATTTACCTATCACATACTTGATCATAGAATGTTCAGAGAAAAATCTTGGCAGATTTTTCCAAAAGGGACTGCATTTATAGCATGTGTTTGTGCTTTTTTCATTCTGGGATACCCACATTAATATGATTCCCTAGCTCTGTGGTTCTTACCCTAGCAGCTTTAAATGAAATATAACATACAGAGGCTTATTCACAATTTCTTGACCTTTCATTTATTTAATATCTCTATAAAGAAGAAAAGATGTTTTAAAGCTCAAGGGTCTTACCTGTAAATAGGGGGAAACGGTGTTGAGTATAGCCAGGTGGCCCCCAGGGCATTACTGCAATTGCTTTCCAGAAAGAGAAAGTGGTGCTTTAGAGAATTCCCAATATTTCTCCCAGACTAAAACCTTGTCATGCAGATGAACTCTGAACTGAGACTCTTTGCATCTCATTTTCTCATTAGGTTTTATTACAGTCAACAAAACTTTCAGTAGTGAATTACTTTCCCTCTCAACGGAACACCAGACTCCCATAATGTCTGTACAAACTGAAATAATAAAATGGTTTTTAATGGTAGCCTTAGGGATTAGAAGGGGAAAAAAGAAAAATGGAAGGGGCACCAGGGTCTTCCCATCTCTATGCTAACCAAAGTGTGGCTTTCCAGACCCCTTTCTTGCCCATGAAAAAGAGAATAAAAAGCGGAAATGTTACTGGGGTTGAAACCCCATTTAAATAATCAGGTTTCTCTTTCAAGTTTCCTTGAAAGACAAGTCATTTCCACCAAAAAAAAAAAAAGGTGGATAAATGAGTCTTAAATCCATAGTTCAGATAGGATCTGGTATTGTAAGTAAATGCTTTTAAAAGTAGTTATGGTGTCGAGAAATGAGGTTTGTCCCATGCGCCTAGGACAGAGGCACCAACATAAAAACAAGTATTTTTGTTTCAACATAAATGTTTGAAAATTGTTTTGTTTCACATCTTTATGTCATTCACTTAAAAAGAGTCACTTAATGTTTGCTCTACACCAGGCATATGACAGGTTCTTATCCTAATTTAGTTGAGATGCCAAGATTTAGCATAATTTTAAAAAGAAGGATGCAGTCTAAAACACAGTATAATTAAGTGTTAAGTGATGTGATATCGATGCTAAGCAACCCAGGAGATCAGAGGAAAGGAAAGATGGCTGAGGGTTGGGACTGTCAAGAATATGTATTTTCAATAAGTTTTTTAAATGATGCCAAGTTAGAAAGTTGGTATAATTGCTGCCAATTTGTAATTTTAAAGATTTACATGATTCATCATTGCTTTCCAACCAGTATCTGTTTAAAAGGACATAGAGTCAACGCTGGAAGGAAACATTTCCTTATAATCTTCAGGGATTTGCTATTGAGGGGAAAAAAGAATGTGTTGAATAACAGACCAAGAACTGAGTATATTTTGCATGAAATTTAGTGAACGAGGATACAGAAATCTGGATGTTATTTTAGTATAATAGAGTTTCTATTTCTAACGAACTATTTTCTTCCTGCTAAACAAGTTTTAAGTTTGAAGAATAAATCAGGCTCAAAAAAAACTTTTAATTTTTTTATTATCAATTTTCACAATTTATTTTCCTTTCAAGAAAAGTGGGCTAGAAGTGCAAGTTACATTCTCAAGGCAATGAGAATTTTCTAACTTCTAAAAATGATGCGTGGGGTGGCATTTGGGATCCTTTAAAATTGAGGCATCTGAACAGCAACTTATCTTTTGAAATCACCAAACCTCAAGTGTGCATTTGCACTCTTGATCTTAAAATGCTTTTCACTTTACAGTTTGGCAAAGATCCTGGTCTCCTTATGTTCCCTACCTTTTCAGTCTTTGCCACACAGGTAGTCTGAGTTAAATTAAATTTGTTATAATGGAGTTTAAACTGCTAAAATAGAGGCATTTCTCATCTTGTGTTGTGAGTATCTTTAGACAAGCTCAGAGAACCGTAATAAGCATTTCTCCCCCAGACTTAATTGCATTCAGAGTCTTCCCAAGAAATGTCAGTTATTTCCCCAATTCTAAAACGAGGGACTTTTTCATAACAGCTGCACAACCAGGCAAAAGAGCACACTCTCGTGTTCCCTTAAGGGGAGGAAACCTGCAATCATGTGAAGTAATTCAATTTAACCTTAAAAAAAAAAAGTCTTTGAAATGTTTCTAATCAAGACTTTCAGCTTTCCGAGGGTGTGCGCTTTATTTTTCAATTCTTCCTGGTCCCGATTTTGCATTTCTAATGAAAGTGGACTGACAAAGCGTGAAAGTGGTCTAAGGAGCAAAACAAAGCCAGCAAGCATGCTTCGGGTGTGCCAAGATTCATCAATATTCCAGAAACCTCGGGGTTCCCCCCTCCTGCCCCGCGCTGTTTTCATTCCCCACTCCTCCTTTCCCGGACATAGACTCCTCCCCTTTTCTTAAGTTGCCCCGATAGTAACTTGCAGTTTCAGAGCCACATGCATATTGTCAGGGCTAGCCTGCCTCGCTCACGGCGTATTGCTCCTCCGTTGTACCTGCTGGGGAATTCACCTTGTCATTGCTTGGTATCTTCCCACACTTACAAAATCAGAAAAGGTAAGTGTCACGTCCTGTGTTCCTGCTGAGTTTCATCTCTCTTTTCCCCTCTCTGCCAGCGTATTCTGTTTCCCAAGCAGAGGAGTAGCGAGAGTCCAAGCTAGCCATGTTGGTAGATAAAGTCCTTGTTAGTGATTTAATGTCGTGAGCTTGTAGGGTCTATGCCGGGTCCTCTCTTAATCTGGAGTTCAGTCATTCAGGGTGGATTGAGGGGCAGATTGTGGTTTGAGATCTAGAAAAGAATCAAGGTGGAGCTGATCTGCTTTAAAGTGACTGGTAAAGGGAACCAGAGCTATTAGTAAAAAAAAGAAAGAGAAAAAGAAAAAGAAAATCTGGTCTCTCCCGTCTCTCCTTCTTCACTTCTCCCTAAGTTTATAACCTGGTCTTAAATTGTAAGTCCGATTATCACTGACCACAACTTGCAACGTTATTTAAAAGTCAAACTGTTAAGACAAGTCTTTTTTTCCACCCTTGGATTTGCCCAAAGCTTGCGAGGAGTCCCCTGGTTTTCAGTGACCTCCCCTACAGACGCACACGCTGGCTGCTTGCGTTGCCAGCTCCACACGTCCGCAGGCACGGCTGATTTTTCTTCAGATTGATTATGGGAAAGAAGATGGATTCGAACTCTTGTAAGGCAGCAGGAAAAATCCCTTGATTTTTCAGAACAGCGGAATTCCACCAAGGAAAGAGATTTACTTAAACGTGTTTGAATAACCCAAGAGCGCTTTAAAGAAACCAGAAACCACACACTGTAATGTTTGGAATGAAAATTGGATTCATCTCCTCATCTGCTCTAGAAATCCTGCAATTTTAAAATACTTAGAAGTCAGCGATAGTCTCCTCAGAACACTTCAGTGTGTTGGCCACAAAGCCTAATGTTACTTTCTGCTTGTACTTAAAATGAAGATAAATAACGATTTCAGGATAATTTATATATGTGCCCCGAGCACTTTGCATATATCATGGAAAAAATTTAAAAATTACCCTGTAAAACAGTCAAATGTATTTCCCATGTCCTGTGAGCACTTATGTTTTTTATGGCCATATTTACTATAGATATTACCGTGTTTTTTCTTAATGAAAAAAATAGCCAGTTACTTTACTACGGGTAACAGATTCAGCTGCCACCTTATCCATATCTTCATTATTTTTATTGATCTGATTATGCTGTGAACCGTGTAGATAACATAATTTATCAAATAATTATTGAGCATTTCCTGTGCATTCAATTTAGTTGGACATTTATTTGACATTGTGCAAGGCACTCAGTTTCTGGGGGAGAGGCTGGGCATGGTGTACTCAGTCACACCAGCTCCAAGGAACCCTTTTAAAGCCTCATTGGAAGAGGAAAAACAGATTTTAAAAACTGAACACAAATTTCTGCACATATACTCCGAATTTATGTACACTTCTCATACGTGGTCCAGTAAAATATGCACGTTGCAACCCTGAAGCCTGGAATTGCAGCTCTCCAGTTCTCAATTCCTGTAGAGATTATGCAGTTTGCCCAGAGCTTGCCTGGTGTGGGGCAGCACTGATTTCTCACCCCTGGAGTCTTAACTTATGTCTCTTTCTCTCCCATTCTAGTTGTATTTTCTAACACCAAAGAGGAGGTTTGGCTACCTAAGGGTGATTCCAAGACACTGAAGCACAAAGAAGAGACACTCCTAGAAAAGTAAAATATGACTAAAAGCAATGGAGATGAGCCCAAGATGGGGGGCAGGATGGAGCGATTCCAGCAAGGAGTCCGTAAACGCACCCTTTTGGCCAAGAAGAAAGTGCAGAATATCACAAAGGAGGATGTTAAAAGTTACCTGTTTCGGAATGCTTTTGTGCTTCTCACTGTCACCGCTGTCATTGTGGGTGAGTCATTTGATTAAAAAAAAAAAAAACTGTATCTTATTTCTCTGGGGCATCTGTCTGCCTGGGAACGTGATCAGATGGACTGGGTGTAGGTATTTAAAATTATAGCTTAGGGTTTCCTCCTAATTTGAAAGCTTTTCTCTATAAAAATGACAAATGTTTGGCTTGTTTGGAGCAATATATGGTGAATGCATGGGAACCTGAAAGAGCATCATTAGACATTATGCAAATCAATTGACTGTGTGAAAAAGGGAAATAAAATGTTTTCCCATTTCATGTAAGGATAAAAGAGGGATAATTTAATCATTAGGCATGACAAAGCAAGCATGCTAGATTTGGCCAAAATGTAATTATTGTACAATGTCACTTTCACTTAAAACTAATTTATACAATTAGCACACCCAAAATGAGATATTGGTTCCCAATAGTAATTATATTCTAACTGGTGCTGACTTGAAGCTGAGTATCAGCGCTTAGATGCAGAGGCTGAATCTTTTGTGTGCTTGCAATCTCTCGCCCAGCAACTGGGAAAGATAAATTCGGGGAAAATGTTAACACAGATCTCTTTCATTCATTGCCTCACAGGGCATCCATAACCAACTATACCTTTTTTTTTAAACATTTCCATCTCTTATTAATTTAGCATAGTTGCCAGGAATCTGTACTAATAAAACATTATTGTTTTGCTTAGTTATTGGTGTTGAGGGTTATAATTTATTATACTGATCCTATTTTAAGATATAGCTGATAAAGCTACTTATCTGGAATTTTTGACCAAACCAATATAGAAATCCTTAGGTTGGTGCACTGTAAGCCAATGCTAGGTTTTAGAAAAATGCTCTAAGTTAAATTTCTAACAATTTGTCACAAAAAAGGGGTCAATCATATAATTTTAATCTCTACCTTGGAATTTACCAAGATCTCCATCAGCCTTGAAGAGGTAATGACTAAATAGAAATTAAGAACATTCTGTAGCATGTAATTATAACTTTGTTCAAGAAAATCGGAATCTTAATTTGTAGACAAATGAAATACAGCAAAATAATTTGTCACAGATTTTATTTTATTTATTTGAGTCAGGATCTCAATCTGTTGCCCACGCTGGAGTGCAATGGCATGATCACGGTTCACAGCAACCTCCAACTGCTGGGCTCAGGTGATCCTTCTGCCTCAGGCTCCTGAGTAGCTGGAACTACAGGTGCACACATCACGTCTGGCTAATTTTTTTTTTTTTTTTTTTTTTGTAGAGACAAGGTCTCATTGTGTTGTCCAGGCTTGTCTTGATCTCCTGGTCTCAAGCTATTCTCCCGTCTCAGCTTCCCAAAGTGCTGGGATTACAAGTGTGAGCCACCATGCCCAGGACAAGCATTTAGATATATCCCATTTAACATCTTTGGCTCTTTTTAGTAATTGTTAGTGATTAATGATTGATTGTTCAATTAACTTTAGAGATATTCAAAGACAACATGTCCTGAATGACCCAGAGAAGTACTGGCTTTCTATAGTAGATTCCCAAGTTTGAATATATTCCTGAAAGAAGTATTTCAGTACATAATTATCCTCAAATTCAATGCAAAATGCAATATGTTTGCCTCATTTTTTGCTCTGAATCAGTTATTGTCAAGCCAAGCATTAGCTGCATAATAATAATAGCAAACACGTGTATAGTAATATTCCAGTTACTTTATAGGTGATTAGTTGACATCTTGTGAGAGATCAGGAAGAGAAATACTCCCATGAGTTGGTAGAGGCCAATTAGTTGGCAGTGCTAGATATATTCCTACAGCGTTATCATTTTACTATATGATTTACCCAGTTAAACTCGACAGAAAACTCACAATTCTACAAATGATTAAGCTACATCCCTCTCTTTCATTTAACGAACACTCATTTATTTTACAATCCAATACATATAATAAATAGAGTTCAGTATTACTGGAGTATGTTTGAAAAAGATGTAGAAACACTTATTCAAAATAGTGTTCTAAACACCAGAAGAGTTTAATTTCTTTTTTCTTTTTTTGAGTTGGAGTCTCACTCTGTCGCCCAGACTGGAGTGCAGTGGCACACTCCCAGCCATCGCAGCCTCAACCTGCTGGGCTCAGTCAATCCCTCCACCTCAGCCTTCCAAGTAGCTGGAACTACAGGCGCGTGCTACCACGCCCGGCTAGTTTTTGATTTATTGTATAGCCGAGGTCTCGCCAAGTTGCCCGGGCGGGTCTTGAACCCACGGGCTCAGGCAGTCCTCTTGCCTCAGCCTCCCAAAGTGCTGGGATTACAGGCTGAGCCACCGAGCCTGGCCAGAAGAGTTTAATTTCTAAGACAAAAATGTTTCCCTTAAATAGTAGAGGAATGGAAAGTAATAAAACCTGAACATGGAATGCAGGTTGGTGGAGAAGGAAGTCCCTAAGTGATAATTAGTACAAAGAAATAGCATCTCTAATAAAAGGAAGTAATGCCAGGACTTAAGAGCTCATTTTCTTTAGGAGCTTGCTTTGAGATCACTTCCTCACCCAGTGAAACCTTTTCCTAAGGTTTATGAGAACTGCAATGAGTTGGCTGAGCTAGGGTAGATAAGTTGGCTGGATGCCCTCATGGTTGGCTTTACTGATGGAAACTGAGGAGGTAGAAGCTGCAAGAAGGCACTAACAAAGAAACACATAAAAAGAACTCATTGATAGTCAGAGAGACCACTGAGTCTATACCAAAGACTTGGAATAGCAAATAGACAACTCAGTAGCAAACAGATTTAGGAGAGAAGGAAGAACCCTTCAGTATCTATATCTTCCGTCAAGGGCCCGGTGGAAATAAAGGCTCCATTTAGCTTGTCAATGTGTCTGGACACATTAACTTTTAATTTATTTGCTGCAGCATAGGAAAAAACAAGAAAGATGCTGGTAAGGAAGACGGATATAGTCATTTTCCCCAAAGATAAGATGAGAAGAACTATAGCTATTACCTAGTTTTCAAATTATTCGATTTAGATCGCTTTTAATTAAACACACACACACACCACAGGGAAAAACCTATGTACTGAGGTGAATTTTTGTTCAATCTGTATTGCCTTTTTGAAATAAAATATATGTGCATTTAATGTGTAGGAATGGAAACTAGAAAAATATTACAGAGGAAAGGTAGAGACATGTAAGTTCATATATTCTGAATATGTAAAGCAGAATTATAAATATTTTGATATCAATTCCTATAAAAGCATAAGTGTAGAACCACTTGTGCAATTTTATGTCATCTTCTATCATTTCTAAGCATCAAAGTGTGAATGCGCCATGCCACAACAAAAGTTCACATAACAAGGGCAGGTTAGCAACCTGAGAGAACACAGTGCCAAGCCCCCAGTTCCTTTAAGACAGTGCATCACGAAAGCATTAGGTAATGGTCTTGCAGAGCTGTTGAGGAGACATCTTTCTGACAAAACCACCCTGAGAATAGTGGTTATTGTCTTTTTTCCTCCAGAAAGCACTTTCTTATTTCAAACTATGGTAAGTTGTGTTGGAATGACCTCAGACATCTCGTGGAAAGAAAGGGAAAGTCCTTTGTCATGTTCAAGTCACAAAATGCTGCCCTCTCCATATCTGGGAAATGAATCGCATAATAAAAATAAAATCTCAGTGCAAACAATTATAAACAAATGGACCAGAAGATGAGCTGCAAGGGGTGGACATTTGTAAATAGAATTGCACAGAATTGGATGGTGGTTTTTTTTTTACCTGAAGGAATTCACAAATGCCCTCATGCACACAGTTTACGTGTGAGTTCTCCTTTACATAGGTTTGAGAGAAATCACTGACTTCTCAGGGAAAAAAAAATCCTGATTACATTTTTATAAAGCATTTCTAAATTGCACTAAAATTCAGTACAATTCTATATCTCTAGAAAAATATATAAGAAACAAAAAACTGATCACCATGGCTGCCTCTTGGGATAGGAGCTGAGGGTCGAGGAATGAGGAATTCCTCTGAATTTTTTTTTTTTTAAGTCAGGGTCTTGCTCTGTCACCCCTGGATTGCAGTGGCACAATTATGGCTCACTGCAGCTTCAACCTCTCATGCAATCCTTCCCCCTCAGCCTCCAGAGCAACTGAGACTACTGGTACATGCCACCATGCCCAGCTAATTTTTGTAGTTCTTACAGAGATGAGGTCTCACTGTGTTGCCCAGGCAGGTCTTGAACTCCTGGCCTCAAGCGATTCTCCTGCCTTTGCCTCCCAAAGTGCTGGAATCCCAGGCATGAGCCACCATGCCCAGCCTGAGTATGGTTTTGTATGGTTTTAATGGTTTGTTGTTGTTGTTGTTGTTGTTTTTCTCATACATTATCTGCTGTTCTCTATTATCTACTAAATAAATAAGTTAAATCATTTACTTAAAAAAATTCAAGCCGGGCTCGGTGGCTCAGACTGTAATCCCATGCTTTGAGAGGTTGAGGTGAGTGGATTGCCTGAGCCCATGGGTTCGAGACCCGCCTGGGCAACTTGGCGAGA